GAGGCATAGACTAGAGGATGATTAGACGGGACAGTTGGACGACAGACCGTATGGTTAGCCAACGTGGTGGGCAGCAGAGAAGCGAATAAGCAGCCGTGACCATGAGTCTTCAAGACTTATCAGTGGATGATAAACAATCTTAAAATTAGAAAGGGCTCTGATGCCACCAATAAAAATAAATAAACTTTTTTAAATATTGACTTTATGCAATTGAAATGTGTATCCACGATGCATTGAGGGTGAAACACTGAATACATGAGACGAACCACGTCTGTCTTCTTGCAAACCTTGTGGCGTCAAGTAGACAGCATTACTCATTAAATATCCGTGACCCCACGGCCTGGTTGCTCATTAAGTGGCCAATAGTCACCGTAACCCTCATCCCAAAGATCTTGACGTCGATAGTCACCACCCGCCACCACGCATTCCCATCCATCAAACGTCTCCTCTCTACAGTTGACTGGCCATTCGGGGCTATAAGAGTTGGCGTACCACTTGGCATCTTGTTCCTGGAATTCAATCCAATAATTATCGCGCAGCCAATACTGATATTTTTCCCGAGGCAGATCAAACGCCCAGCTTGAAAGCTCGCCCTCACCCTTCTCAAGACGTATGTCATCGATTGATACCCTAGCAATATCCCCAGTGCGAAGGCGGCTGCTACAGAATACTGCGATAACGAGGGGAGAAACCCTGACCTTGGTGTACATGGGCACCGTGACACTTTGGTAGCGCATGGGTTCGTGACGAAGTATGTGTGGATGTTCCCCCGCTTTTGCGAATATGGGATATGTCACGATCATGTCGCCTAGAGTAATAGCGATGAAGCAGGGTTTTTTCTTGGTGACCCCTTTCATTTCGACAAAGCGGTAGTTGAACGTGAGATAATAGACCCGATGTTCTTTGAGGTTTTTGAGGTGTACAGAATAGACCTCGGGTCGTTGCGCTGGATCGCTGATTGTAAACAAGCTACAGCCATGTCAGTTAAAAGGTATCTGTGGGCTCTTATCCCTCAGACTCACAGAGAGTTTCTTCCCCTACGAGAAAGAGAGTGATTCTTCGCAACCTCGACGCCGTTCCCAACCAACTTCCAAGGTTTTCCCATGTTTAGCTCAAAGCTTGGATTGGGTATATACACCTTGGGACCCCTCAGCGTGCCATTTCGTTCCATCGCCAGCAGTCGTTCTGATTTAGGCCCGAATTTCGGCACCCATATCTCATCTCTTTGCCAGTAAAGATATAACCAGTATCTTAACTCTGTATCAAGCTGGTAAAAAAATGGTATAGAAGCTACTGCTGTAAACAGCACCCAAAACACGTAGGTGAGACGCATGGCGGTAGTGTCAGTGGAACTTCAGAAAGTCCGCTGATGACCTGGCAAGGCACTAAAAAGGGTAATCTAGTGTAGATGGGTGTGTTTCGGGGTACTTATAGGAGATATCAAAAAGCGTAAGGGACGTGAAATGCTGGAGGCTGGGCCTATAATTAAAGCTTGTCGGGATAATGGGTTCAAACCGGGCACTGCTGAACAACCGTTCACCTATCGAGAAACGCCGACGATAGAGTCTTTGGGTGGTATAAGTCAGTTCACTGGCTATCTTCTCGCTCAAACTTCCGACCAGTGCCATTTTCCAGTATTGCGATGACTTCATCTTGACATGAAACTTTGGCACTCTCAGTACCCCGCGTGTCGTGTGTCGTCCGATTCGCAACCATCTCACTGAGCCATTTAAAAGAGTCGGGCAGCCCGTCTCCTGTGTGTATGTTGGTACCAAGAACTGCCTTTGTGGTGTTAACAAACAGAATCGGTGGTTTTCTGATAACTTACATGTGGTCGAGCAGCAAGTGCAGGTGATGCTTGATCAAAGAAGAAACTTTACATTTTCTGTACAGCTTCAACATCCTATGGATCTGTTAGCAGAAGCAAAAACACTCAGACATAACAGACAGACATTTGGATCTCGATTATTGGCCAGTATGAGGAGAGGTACATCCTTGGGCATGCCATCTCTGTGATCGACTTTGACTATCAACTCCTCTCTCGACTCTACGTGTGTGTCACAATCATTGGCATCGACGACCCAAACAACAGCATCTGCTTGGTTAAAGAATGCCCTTTCCATTGTGTGGAATCCGCTTGGTCGACTTGCAACGATATCCATGACGTGAAAGGTAACGTTGCCACATCTGTAAATGTCGATATGACAAACTGTAAACATGGTAAAAGTCGTTACATGCTTAACATTGGATGCGAGATGCTTTTGGAGTAGAGTTGACTTTCCAGTGTTGTGGAGACCAGCGATTAAAATTCGATAATAGCTCGGTAGATTACTGAATAGGCTTGTAAGAGGCGTTGGTTCATTGTCGGGTTTGAGGAGGCCGATGGCAGCGAGTGCATCTCTGAGGTAGAAGCCAGGCATTATAGGGGGCTTTCACTTAAGACTCGGTGGTTATCTACACAGGGTATAATGAGAGCAACAGTCGGATGTCTTAGGAAGGATTGCCCGATAAAGACCTGTTCTCCTTAGTCTCGCCTTTGCTTACGGGCAAATGTTTGATAGACAAGACGCTATCATCAAAGAGTCATCCGATTGGTCGCTTATACGCCATGGATGATTCTGATTGTCAGCCACTCGAATCTGACAAAGATTGTTTGAGTAGATACGTACTGTAACAGATTCAATTAGTTGTATATCTCGTATGACAGGAAATGAGTCTCAATGAGTCACCGGCGTGCTCTACCCAGTATCTGCTATATAATTCACAGCCTCTGCTTCTGCCTGACGCGGGGTGACTGGACATGACGCAATGATGACTCAGCACTGATCGACTTGCTGCCCCTCCAAATCCACAATTGAACCAGAAGAATAAATCTCCTCCACACTTTACAAGCCCCAGCTCAGGCTTGGAAGCTCACAACATCCCTGCCTCATCTCATCCAATCCTTCTTTCAATCATGTTCAAGCGCAAGCCCGACATCAGAAACCTTGCGCCTTTGCGCTCCTCCGATCGACGAAAACTCGCCGATCAAATTATTCGCGACTACCAAGTCTCTCTTCCAGAGCAGTCTGACGAAGCCTCATCAACAAGCACGCTGTCATCTCTGCGCAACTCCCTACTGCCAGATTCCACCTCATCCGCGCGCTTTATCACACCTACAGAACAGGGAACCGTCTACATCGGAGCCCACCCTGATCAAGAGGAGCGCGTTCTTTGGTTCCAGACTGGAAAGAACCCCCGCTTGATACCGACTGTCTACACCTTGTGGCGCAACCCTAATCTCATCCCGCTTCTACACACGCCCGACTTTGTCGTCGACGAGAAGCTCAAACATGGTGCCGATCTCATGGTTCCCGGTTTGGTGAAAGCTAAGGGCTCCGCCTGGGATAAGCGAGCCACCACAGGCGCTGTTGTGGCTGTCGCAGGTCTCCAGAACCCCACGGTGCCTATCTGGGTCGGAACCTGTCAAATCGATGTCCAAAACCTTCCCGACGATTTACAGGGACAAAAAGGCGTAGCAGTCAAGGCCCTCCACTGGGCTGGCGACGAATGCTGGAGCTGGAAGTCGCTCGGCAGTGGAGGTATTGATCCACCTTCAAACCTAGAAGGATGGAGCAGTCTTGATACAGGGCTTGCCTCGCAACTTGGTAAGGTGTCGCTGGAAGACGAAAATAAAGCAACAGAGCCATCACCTAGCAATCAGCCCGAGGAACCGCAAGCTACGGTAGATGATGCAAACGATGCGAATGATGAAGATGACGAACAAGAACCAACGACACGAGAGATCGACAATGCATTTCACCAAGCCTTCCTCTATGCCGCCCACAAAGCGAAGCAGTCTGGTAGCCCACCTCACTATGGCCTGGATTTTCCACTGCAGCCATCCTTCATCATCGCTAACATGATCCAACCCAACCTCCGATCTCAAAGTCGGCATTACAACATCAAGAAGACATCCTGGAAAAATGTGAAAAAGTTCATCAAAGAACTGCACAAGCAGAAGCTCGTACTCGCCAAGGACCGAAATGGAGGCGAGACAGTCATTCTTGACATTGACTTTGACGATGCCCAGATCAGCGGTTTCCGACCTTATCGACTGCCGACACCTAAAGCCCCGGCTGCTGAGGGCGGTGCTTCCACTGGAGATGCAGGCCAGTCATCAAACAATAGTGCATCGTCCGGACAGAAGATTAATATTCAATTTGTCTACCGCCCGTCCTCCAAGCTAGTGCCGACCCTCCTCCCTTCAAAGACCGATTTCTACAGCGCGCAAGAAATTTCAGCAGCTCTGAAGTCATACATCGACGGGCATCCCGAACTAGGAGGCCAAGGCAACTCCAGCGTGAAGCTAGATCCGTTTATCGCCAACGATATTCTGGGCAACAGACCAACTGACGACGATCGCAGCTGGCTTGCAGCAGGACGAATCACCCGCAGCGCCCTCCAAAAGCGAGTCCTCGAAGACACTCACCTGTGCCAGCCATTCCATATCATCTCGCAAGGGCGACTCTCAGCTGACCAAAAGCCCAAGGCTGGATCGCCGCCTCGCATCCTCATCACGATCGAGAAGCGAACCGGTACAAAGGTTGTCACCAAGATTTCTAACCTCGAGCCTTTCTTTATCGACCCTCAAGTGCTCGCGCCTGAACTTCAGAAGAAGTGTGCTGGATCGGCAAGTGTGGGCCAGGTCGCTGGTGCGAAACCTGGATCGATGGAGGTTGTCATTCAGGGTGACCAGCGCAAGATCATTACAAGTGACATTTTGGGAAAGAGGGGAATTGACATGAAGTGGGTGGACACTGTGGATAAGACAAAGCCCAAGAAGAAGTCATAGAGGTAAGGACTGGAGAGAGAGCGGTATGAATCAGTCGACAGGCTCAAGTGGGCATCGAGATGTAGAATAAAGCAGTCATGAAACAGGCAAGGAAGCAATAAAAATATCATGCAGTTGACGTAGAAGACTTATGTGTATGGAAGTGTTGCTAAAACGTGCAAAAATATGAGGCACACCCGATTCGAACGGATAACCTTCAGGAATCACCGGCGGAGTTTCGAGGCGAACCTCGAAACATTGCTGGAATCTGACGCGCTACCGTTGCGCCAGCGCCCCATTAATTGGGGAGAATGGTAATAATTAGGGCATATATCCTCGACCTTAACAAAGAACGTTGCATTCATCAATGGCGCAATTAGAAAATATGACAAGATAAATGGAATATATTATTATGAATAAAGCTCGTAAAGGCTTCACTGATCTTATGTTATAGATCTTACAATTTGGCTCCGTCCTTCACCGCTGTGACAGCAAAAGGGTTCGCAGTAAACGTTCCATCAGGGTCAGCCCTTGCCCTCGTCTTGCCCAGCCTCTTGTACTTGTCTGCGTCCTCATAGTATGCCTGCCAGACCTCAGGCTTGCTCATATCCCAATCACCCCATGAGCCCCAAAGCACACGTCTGTCCTTCTTGCTAAAGGGACTGTTGGGTCCGATCATGATCGAGTCATTCTTAGCCTGCCAGTTGACAGCATATTGCTTGTACTGATCACCGGGGTCATGGAAACAGTCGAGGGTCTGCACGACGGTCGAATCTCTCCAGCTGTACGAGGTGCCGTTGTCTTTGTTGGCGAAGAAGCGAGAATTCTGGCCTCCGAAACATTGGATCTGAACAGAGAGCTTACAATGATCGTAGACCTCTCCTTCTTTGTCAGACTTGTCGTTTCCAAGCTTCTGTTGGGGATTGAAGATCAGATCCAAGCGCTTGACAGTGGCATCAACCCATCCGTCCTTTTGAAGTGTCTGCGACTTGGTTGCGTATGTGCGCTTGACATAGGGAAGATCGAACTCTCTTGCCTTGGGGAAGATCCACTTTCCAGTGAGTTTAGCCATACTCTCATCAAATTCCTCGATACGGAGGGTATGGTTCTTCCAGTCCTTCTGGAAGTCACGGAACTGCTGAAACCACTTGTCCACGGTAGCATCATACTTGTCGGTCTTGTTGATGGGACACCATTGGGCGTAAAGAACAATGACTGCAGGGAAGCTACCGTTGAGCAGGTTGAGCACCTCTTGGCTAAGGGCGTTCTTGATCTTGTTCTGAACCTTTTGCCAGATAGTGTCATCTTGCATCGAAGGGAACAGCATAGTGATGGGGAACTCTGTGCTGAGAACACTGCAGCATAGATCATACCCACGAGGTGCTGTACCTTCGTCGGACATCTTGGCAATGGTACCAAGAAGACGAGAAAGAACCTTGGGCTCATAGAGCCATAGACCCTTCAAGCCGTGAGGGCCTTTAAAGTTGTTGGGCCCGGCGACAGTGCCCATGTAGCTTGCGCCACGGTACACTTCGATAGTGTAATGGGTGATGATGCCGAAGTTACCAGGACTTCCTCCTAGTATGGCATAGAAGAGCTCAGAGTCACTCTTCTTGGTGACTTCTTGGATAGAGCCGTTGTGATCAACCATCCGGATGCTGATGATGTGGTCACCGAAGAGACCAAAGCTACGTCCGAGTTGGCCATAGCCTCCAGTTTGACCATGTCCACCGGTGCACACATAGGCGCATTGCCCATGCGGGACGAACAAGTCGTTGTGTCGAAGGTAGGCGTTGAAGTCTTGCAACCGGTTGCTCACACCGATGTACACCAAAGCTCTGTCTTCGGGAATGCCAGGGGCGTCAATAACCATCATGTCCTTGTACGTGTTGGAAAGGTCAATCTGGATGTTCTTGCCGCCAGTGGATGAAGCACCGCTGTACTGGTGGCCGCCGCTCTTGACAGCGACAGATACTTTGTTGCCCTTTGCCCATTGAACAGCTTTGATAACATCATTGTCTTCCTTTGGCTGGACGATGAGGGCTGGGTTCATGTCATGGTCAACCTGGTGGGTTGAGGTAGCGTATTGTTCATTAAAGTACTCATAGTCGTGTTTGCCAATGGATGGGCCATCGCGGGAGTATTGCATCCCAGTAAAGTCTTTAATTTTGAACATGATGCTTTAAGTAAAGAGTAGGTGGGTATATTGGATGAGAAATGATGATGGGAGCCTATTTTGCTCAACTTGTCTGCTCTTTATACTTCATCCTCTAATCCCCACACAATTGAGAAGGGTCCGAGGCTGTGCAACTGACCGGTAGGCTACGGAAACATGAACAGAATGTGATGGAGTCTGTCCTACATGAAAGATGACCCGACATTCCTAGAGCGTTAAGACACGTATTGTGGCTGCCCTGGTAGCTAGAACTATCGATGTTAAAGTCAGCTATCCAGTAGCCTCGTTGACGCTGGCTTCCCCAATAAATTCGCCAATTCAGAAACAGATACAGGGTCCTAGATCAAATCCATGCGAGATTATGACTGTAGCCTGACTATCATTACATGTCAGGCGCAATTACTGTGATTTGAATTGACCAGTACTTTCATTGTAGCACAAACTGAGAGGTCGGCAATTTCTCAGCCAGCCACTATTTCTCACCACCATCAGCATGTTTCAACCAGTTTCAACCCTGCCTCCGCCTCATTTCGGACAAGCTTCTAGTGGTCGCACAAAAAGAGCGATCAATTCTAGACTGTTTGCGGGGTTTTGGTATGCGGTGAGAGGCTATCCATATCCGGTATCAAGATGCAAACTATGTAATCAATCTATCTGCCCAAGGCTGAGTCCAAGTATTTCTATTGGTGCCAAGATCAGGATGTGATCACCATTCTGGTGCCTAAATCGCCCGCATGATTGGCTTCGGAGCGGTTTCAAGCAATGCAGTCAGTTTTGCGGCTGAAGAGCATGAGACAAACTGCATAGACGCGAGGTATTGGCCGAATTGGTGGATAACATAAGACAGAAGCAAAGACATTGAAGCCATTCAAGTGAGGTTGCCCCTAGCAGACGCTGGAGCCTATACAGTTGCAAGGATAACATGGGCTTTTCCGTATTCGCTATGAGGAACCTGCTATGATGTTCGGCCCCCAAGATGCACAACGTACGTGCATAAATTAGCGGTCCCAACCACGTTTAACAGCGACTGAGATACGCCTCGTGTGATATTCTTACATGAAGTTTAATGGTACTTTGGGGACACGTAATACTATACAAGCGGCGGCTTTTGCAAACGGTGCGGCTGACCGGCAAGAATGTGCCGTCTCTCAAAGCTGATGCAAGGGAGATCAAACATGACCCAAAGCTGACAACATCTCAACATACAAGTGCCAGGCCACTGTAAACCCCGTATTGCTCTCGAAACTAAGCATTCATTAGCTTTAGCCACAGAAATTCAACCTCAATCTACAGAGCATCCAATTGCATCCGTTGGGGGCTAGTGCTGCCGTAGATACCGGTCTAGACCAAGCCCCCAGATCAGCGTTACTGGATACGAGTTTCGCAATTCCTATTGTGAAAGCCACATTTGAGTTTTCTCCGTCTTAGTGAGAGTTAATCCTTAGGTTCGTGACTATCGGATTGGATGGCCTAGGTTCGGCCCGGATTGTTATCCTAGAGTACTGGAATGAAATGTCAGAAATAAGAATTTAGAACGGTGCGATACATGTGATGGGAACTTTGTTACGAAACTCTCGGTTTTTCCGTTGGAATGGACTCATGTTACTGTAGCTGTCGTATTAGTGGTCTGTCAGCATGATCAAGAGACAAGTTATTGGCTTACCACCGTTGGGCAACGGAGGTAAGTCACGGTGTCTATCAAGCCCCCAAAGTCGAGATATAATGATATATAGATTATATATAACAAGAGGCATCTTGCATTACCTACATCGGCAATGCAAGTTTCAACCAATACTTTTCCCAATAAAGATTACAGAAGCAACATTCTTTCATCATGATGCTCCCAATTGCTCCCGTCGTCCCCATGGATCTGGGTGATGACTTCAAGTTCGGCCCAACTGTGCTTGATCCCGTTCAACCAGAGGACAATGGTGATCTTGTCCAAATCAATGGGTTTCCCAGCGTTCAGACCACAGGTGGTGATGTCGCTCTGTCGCAGCTGGGTGTCTTGGCACACTTCCATGGAACCTATGGTGGTTTTGGTTTCAACAATATCTTCAGACCCAACGGCACAAAGACTCCTACCCCTCTTCCCATTTTACCTCCATCCGAAGACCCAGATGACAACATCCTTCAACTCAACCTCACCAGTGAATCTATGGCGTTTAGTAAGGGACTTACTGATGTGCCTAATCGCGGTTTGGACACACAGGCTGATCTGATGCTGAACGGCGTGCCATACACTCAGACGATTACAGACATTACTGAGATTGTGGCACCACCAAAGAAGCAGCCAGTCATTCATTTTGAGCCCGGTCTCTGGATGCATGTACCTGCTAGTCAGGAGATGCCTGTCCTTCCAGCTTCGCTTTCACGAATGGCTGCCATTCCCCATGGAACATCTATCAATGTTCAATGCTTCCAACCTACCGTCACAACACAGGGTGCACCGGACATCCCATCAGTCGACATAACACCTCTCATTGTCGGCAGTACCAAGACTGTGGGTTTCAGGAGCCAAACTGCTACCAACAACAATACCCATCGTCTTCCTCAAGACCTGTCGACTTTCATGAAGGCTGGCACCATCACACAGGATATTCTGACTGACCCCAACACTGTTCTCCGTAACGCCAACAAGGGCAAGACAATCGTTCAAAGCACCTCATTTTCGGTGTCTTCTATTCCCGAAAGCCCTGATCTTGGCGGAGGTACTAGCAACATCGGCTTCCTCATCGGTGCTGACGGTGGTGCAAGCACTGCTACTGTCCAGGCCAGAAGTGGCAATGCAAACTCAGTCAAGGTCACAGCCCAGTACTGGCTCTCAAAGATCCGTACCACGATTGATTTACCTGTGGTAGACATCAAGGTTGACAAAAAGAAGACTGTGTCTCCAGCCTCTTCCGGTCCCAGAGATGCGGTACCCAAGTTCGTGGTTGACATGAATGTCCCGGCTTCCAAGACTGTTAACATTGAGTACACCCAGATCCAGTATTCGCAGACTGTCGTTTTGGACTTTAATGGTCTCAGCTGGCCGCATGTCACCGTTGGAACTCTCGCACCTGTGGCTGGACATCGACTTTCGCGGGTTCTAGTTTCCAGCTAGATGCTGCTCTTCTTA